CCATCTCATTGCTGGAAGTCAGAAGTCAGAAGAAGACCCACCCCAAGAAAAGAGACCCCTGCAATCATAAAAAAACCATCCATCCATGCATATACTGTATCAAACGACAACAACGCCCCACCCACCCGGACCTCACTCACTCACTCAAATCACGCTAGCATAAGCAATACCTGGGTTCATAATTTCAATTCCTTATCACTCAATTTAACTATCTCTCCACCCACGCTCATTTGATCGATCTCTCACTCCGTATACCTTTTCTTTTCCTTTCGAACGCGTATCTTTTTTGTATCTATATACGATTTGTCTCTCTCTCTGACTCTCTGGACTTTCTCTCCCTCGAGCTATTGGCGTTCTCGTCGCCCTCACAGTCCTTTTTCGATAGCTTATCTCTATAGCGACTATGGTTTCTTTTGGCCATGACTACCACACTCATTCATTCATTCGTCTTCTACGATACAAACAGCACTTACATGCTTCTTCCCCTTCCAAAATTCGACATTCAACATGCCTCCTGCTTCAAGTTGAACAATCCATCCCCGGATTTTGCGAATATATCTACATATGCCATTATACAGTGGTTTTTACTACGATACAGTATGTGATACAAGAAAAGATCCCAGTGGTTCATGGTAATAAATTATACAAAAATCAAACATCGCATCACTCAGACTCTTCCTCAGCTTGGACAGGTTTCTTCCGGGTAGCTATCAGGGTTACGACCGGTCAGTTCACGGGTACCGGCAAGACAAAGGAAAGGACGGCGTACTTCGCTTTGAAGCCCGTTTCTTCGCTGCCTTCTTCTCTACACGCTTTTCGAGAGCTTGGTCTTCCTCTCCCTGGTTCTTGTGTTCCTCCAGAAGCTAGGTAATCATCGACTGTCAGCGACAATATGGATAAGATTCTATCAGAACGTACATGCTCGAACTCATTGAGCTCATTATCCGGCTTGTCCTTGGATTTATTAGAACGTGCCTGTAGATAAATAAGTAAGCATCAGAGCCCTGAAACTGCTTGAAAGACCGTACTTTTGCCAGAATCTCCGTAAACTTTTCATACACCTGAGGTTCGTGTAATTTATCCCGGTAGAACTGGAAGCCCTCGATCAGCTTCTTGACTGATCGCTCCGATTTGAATGGGAGGAGGGAAAGACAGAAAGCGATATCGCGCCATTGACGTGGATCTTCGCTGAGCCTGAAACGCTGGCATAGCTTCTCGACGATGTTCTCTGCTTGTTTTTCCTGAGAGACGTGAGGGTAAGCTAACTGAATACCAAGAGAGTTCATGAAACAGACCTTTTCGATAAAGGTAAAGATATATTGGAGTGTACTCCTGAAAGTCTTTTCATCGACGGCATGATCGCCACTGGACAAATGGCTGATTACTTTTTTTTAAAAATCAGTATTCCGTAGTACGCGCCAAATGAAAAAGGACCTACCATCAGGAAGGTTATTGTAGATTGCGTTCTCCTTCGTAGACAACTCGCTAAAGAACAGCTTCGCAAGATCCGCAATACGTGCATCTTCATCTTCAACGCACTTGGCCATTTCACCAAGCTGGCCTTTCACTTTGATCATCCCATTCAGAATCAAATGCGTCAAGACCATAAGCGTATTCTTCTTGACAATGATGCTGCCGTCCGAAAGGCCCTTGTACAGCTCGTTACTGTTCTCGTCGATGATGTTGCTAAAGGACACGGCGACATCGCCCAACGCGATGACGATGTTACTCCGGATGTTAGCGTCTTTGGACGTCTCGAGGATCTTGAATAA